CCTAACGTGTTGGGGATGTCAGATGATAAGCAGAGCAGCACTGCTCAGCCTTTTCCAGCTCATGTTGCATCGAGCAGAAGCACCAAGGACAAAGCGTATTTCTCCCTTCACCTGAAGAGACCATGTGCCAGCCATGACTGCTGCAACCAGAGCAAGGGAAGAAGACTGTTTTCCTATGTTCTTGGGAAACTTACCTCGAAGGTGGCCCTGCTGTGCTCAAGGACATACAAGGCTAAACACTGTGACACCAGCAGTAGCTGTTACAAATAAATACGCTTTCAGAGGGATGTAGACTGAATCACTGTTGAATTTGTTCTCTTTCATGAAGTTTGCAACTTTGCATAATGGATTTCTTGCCTTTCCTCCAATTTCTAAATTATACTACATGCTTTGCACAATCTGGATCAGAAGCATTGTGAGATTGTGACTTCAAGTGTAAGCACAAGTACTTAATTAATCATTAAGCAGTAATTTTCTTCCCACTATAATACCAGTTACTACAACAACTGTTACAGCTACATGTATAAAATCTGACAAAAGCTGAAACTCCAGGGCTGGCTTGGATATTGGTTAACTGAAGCTATTTAAAAGAAGGTCTTCTGAACCCGTCCCTTCGGCTCTCCCTATCTTCAGTATAGACAGAAACAACTTTATCCAAAGATGATGCTATTCATTTAAAAAAGAATCCTCTCCTAGAGAAAATTTTGTCACTACATTGCATGTAGGATGGTGTCCTGCTTTTGACAGATAAAGTGTGATATACTTCATCATTTCTTATTGTTCACAGCCATTCTATGCTGCCTCCATAGTTCTTTGAAAACACAAACTACTTCAGCTTTTCAGCTGCTTCTGTTCTGAACTCTGTCTGCGCAGGGATTAACACATACTTTTATCTTTTAAAACATATATTCTTTCCTTTAACTAATAGTTTCCATTCGGAGGACCCAAAGTCCTAGTGTAGCACTTATATCAGTGTTCACAAAGGCATAATCAAACTAATTGTCTTATTTGGAGTATGCTTCAAGCATACCCAGAACAGAAGATATTGCTGCAACTCTGTTAAATGCTGTGGGGATCTGCTTACACTTCTTTTGGGTTAGTGCAGTTGGCTTTGTCACCAAGTTCTGCTAGCAGCAATACAGTTTCTCCAGGTGTTGCCCAAGCAGGACCAGCTGTAGTAAGTACATGGAGGCACTGACCTGCCTTGGAGTCCACATTGATGCCCTGTGCTTCGCCACATGAAACATCCCCTCAGAAAAGCTAGTAATGTGGAAGAGCTACTTTAAGAAAGGAGTTTAGATCAATGTGGAGGGGAATCTGTTGTGATATATATATATCTCATATGCCTGAGAGGTGTTTTCAATACCAAACAGACTATGTGCAGTGTCCTTACAGTATACGGTGTATGTTGCACCCAGTAATGACAGGTCAGGGTTCTTATGTCTGTTGTACAAGAGAAACCGGTAATTGGCACCTGAATGAGAGAGCATTTTTCCAATTTCCCTCTGAAATCTTGATGGATAGTCAATTTCAGAAGAGTTTTATGCTGTCTATACCCCACAAAAAAAGGGTTGGTTGAATAAACCAATATATCATTTTTAGAAAATCTTTTCATTTTTATTGTTGATTTATTATTATTGTTGTTTAAGCTTTCTAAATGAAGGGTATTTGAGACAACAAAAAACCACCTTTTTAAAGGTTTTAAGACAATCTCTTAAGACAACTTTGATTTTCTCCTAAAGCATTTGAAAAGTATCTGGGGAGGAATAACCTCATGCTATCATCCCCTCAATACAGGTTAGAGGATGGCCTGCTGGAGATGAGCTCTGCAGAGAGGGACCTGGGGGTCCTGATGGGCAACAGGTTGGCCATGAGACAGCAGTGTGCCCTTGTGGCTCACAAGGCCAGTGGCATCCCAGAGTGCATTACAAATGGTGTGGCCAACAGGTTGAGGGAGGTGATCTGTCTCCTCTATTCTGTCTTGGTGAGGCAGATAATTAGAACACTGTGTACAGTTCTGGGCTCTGCAGTTCAAAAAAGACAGGGATCTTCTAGATGGAGTTTAGCACAGGGTCACAAAGATGGTAAAGGGCCTGGAGAATCTGTCATATGAGGAAAGACTGAGTAACCTGGGTCTGTTCAGCCTGGGAAAAAGAAGACTGTGAGAGGATATGATAAATACCACCAGAACAGATTGCCCAGAGAGGATGTGGAGTCTTGTTCTGTGGAGATATTCAAAACTGGTCTGAACACCTATCTGTGCAACCTGTTATAGGTAATCTGCTTTAGCAAGGAAATTAGACTCGATGATCTCTTGAGGTCCCTTCCTACCTCTGTGATTTTATGATTCTGTGATTCTTTGAAAGCAATTAACTTCACTAAAACAAACATCACCAGCCTCCCCTCCCACCCTCCCCCTCTCCCTCCCCCCTCCCCCCTCCCCCCTCCCCCCCCCCCCCCCCCAAGAAAAACAAACCAAAAACCAACAAATAACACAAAAACAAAATGAACAAACTCACTTAAAATCATAGAATCACTAAAGTTGGAAAATACCTACAAGATCATCCAGTCCAACTGTCCATGAATCACCAATAGTTTTCATATTAGCAGAAAATGATTTGGTGGAGCTGCCACCAGTCCAGTAACATTCCCATGTATTAATATCGCTGCTGTATCTTGTGGATCCAATTATCCCTGTTCAGCTGTATTCCTGAGCATTTTCCAAAAGCAGATGAAATCATAGTAATGATTTATGGTGGGAGGTAAGGAAAGCCCTAAGTCTCTAAACTACAAAGAATTAACTTAAGAGATTCTTGAGGCACACTTTCTTGCCTCTTTCCCTACTATTTTGCTTCACATTTTTAAGCTGAAGGCTTTGCTTTCATAGTGATTTATTCAGAACCTTCAGCAAGATCTTAATGAGAGTGTGAAACCCAGAGAGTTAGCTTAGACACCACAGAGAAAAGAAAGAAAGAAAGGGGAAGAGGAAAAAAAGGAGGGAAGGAAGGAAGGAAGGAAGGAAGGAAGGAAGGAAGGAAGGAAGGAAGGAAGGAAGGAAGGAAGGAAGGAAGGAAGGAAGGAAGGAAGGAAGGAAGGAAGGAAGGAAGGAAGGAAGGAAGGAAGGAAGGAAGGAAGGAAGGAAGGAAGGAAATGACTAAGGGCAGAAGGCCTTTTTTTCCTCTCAATTTTTGTATCTTTCTTGTTGGTTTTATTATTCCCCCTGCTTCTGTGTATTGGTATAAATGAAGCTGGAAAGCTCCAATGAGAAGGTAGTAAAGTCCATTTCCTTTTGCAGTCAAGTAAGTTGCCATGTCTAGACAGTGCATACAATGGCTGGCAAAACTCCAGAAGCAGAGTTAATGGATTTACAAAATAGCAGCATTTCTCTGTATTGATTTTCTCAGGGTATTTCCAGAACCTGTGAAACAGTAAGTAGTTATACTTCACAGTCTTTTCTGCTAATAAAAGGCCTCATAGAGTGGTACTGAACAAAGGCACTTCTGATCTGGGGAACGTAGTCTGAAATTCTCTGTCCAGAGGGGGAAAGGCAAAAGCCAGTAGGAATTACATTAGCCATAAATATTACTGACTGTATTTAAAAAGTTCAAGCGGCAATGTCTGTGCTTGAGTCTGATCCTGTTTGTTTGTTTTCTTAAATAAAAAGATAACATTGTTCATATCCCAGTGTTGAAACAGTGAGCCTGAGTGAGTGAATTCAGCAATGAGATCAGTAGCTTGATACCAGGTAAATTCCCTTTCCCCAAGAGTGATTGACTCAGGCTATGGTTTTCAAAATATGTGTGTTTAGTGAAATGTGCCTGAACCTCTTCTAGAAGACAAACAAGAGCTTAACTTCAGCATTCTGGTTTTGTAGGTGGATTGATACTGTTAGGTCATGGACTGAATTACTAATTGTGCACCTGGCAAAGGGGCTGTCAGTTTTGTGTAGTTTTAAACAAATTAAAGCCCATGTACAAATAATAAAAAAAGGAATGCTTAAATTTATTTTCTTTTTTCTGCTTTAAATAAAAGATAAAAAAAATTAGGACTTGCTTGTCAAGAAACCTCTTCATGTGTTGCAGTTCTCACCATCAGCACCTTGTGACCTACCTGAAGCCGAATACTGGTGATTATAGGTTGGCACAGTGTGTGTGTGAAAGAGAATTATTTGGACCGTAGTGGTACACTGATAACTTATGTATATGTTTCTGTAAAGTGATGGTTGGAATAGCAGGATCTAAAACCAGTGGTCTGTTTGGAAAGAGATGAAATTGAAGAGATGGATTGAAGAGATGATTCAGAAGTAAATAGTTGGTGGCTTGGGAAAAAATAGTTTACTTTTTTTTTTTTTTTTTAATCTTTGTTTTGATCTTAACAGTTGTCTTCTGACCAGTGAAGAAGCTGTAATAATATTTTTCCACATTCCACCATTTCAGTAGAACATATAGTTTGAAGAAATTTAAATACAAGGCAAGTGAGGGAATATTATCAAACACAAACTTACCTGATTTTTTAAAGAAAAACACAGGTGTAAAAAAAGGTCTTTCTGGCTTTCATTGTGGAAAGATTATTAAAAGCAAGGTGGTGAAATGGTTGAACATGGACTGAAAGAATGACAGAACAAAGGGCACTGGTGGGAAGTCTTACACATAGAGGATAAAGACAGGTAAAGTCCCAAAAGAGAAAAACAGGAAGGACCCTCAAACATGGGTGTTGTATTTAAAGGTGAAAATCTGTAAGAAGCAAAATCATTGGAGGAGGGAAAGGAACTGACGTTGGAAAGAGAGATGTGGACAAGACAAGGATGAGTTATATGGTTCTCTAGACATCTCTTGATCTCCACACTTGCCAAGAAAGCAAGGGAAAAGAAAGAATTCTTTTTCCCTCTTAATTACTACAATCTCCTGTTCTTGTCGCTACTCTTTTTTTTTTTTTTTTTTCACTTGTTATACCAATTTTACACTGTACGCAGTAGTTCACTCAGTAAAAAGAAAAACAGATACCACATACAAAAACACTTTTATTATTGTTATAATTTGCTGTTTAATGCAATGCTTTAACTAGGGATACAGCTTGGCAAAAATACATACACATATATTGCATGTAATTTACTTGTGTAATTTCAAACCCACATTGCCTCATTCCTTCATGAGTTGTTTTGGTTGAAGCACCTTCTTCCTTTATTCTGCATAACATGTTTGAATGTTGCTGAATCAGACAGGTGTTCTTTCTCCAAATGGAGCATAACATTACATCAAAATTCCCAGTTAATATGACTATCAAACTTTACTTTCACTGTATGAATATTGTGTATAATATGTATGTATCTATACAGAATATATAAATATATATCTATAATTTATATATAATCAAATGGGTCAGCTTTACGATGCTAACCATAAACTTGTGCTTATCTTCTTTATGAGATCAAATACAGCATCAAGAATTTGACCAGTCCCCAACTTCTCAGTCCTACGATAGGATTTTTTATATCATATTCATGTAATGCATTCCTTCTTTTTTTCAATATTTACTTTGAAGAAAGGAATGCAATGTTTTTTCATATATATATATAAATGGATAACAGATTTTCCATATCATTAAGCTAGAAAAAGTCTCAAGAAGAGATGAGGTCCTTGTACATAGAACTTGAAGATAACTGGACATTCATTCTAGATATATTTACATTATAACTTAATTTGAATAGCACTACACATACTGTGTTATTTCTGTACATAGTCAAGATATGCTGCTGGTAATGTTAAAACACACTATCTAAAGGTATTTACAAACTGCTACTCTCTGATTTACTAACCACCTTTAAAAAGTGGCACCAGTATTAAGGGAAAATTATTCAAAGGTCCATTTATTGGCAACCATGGTATTCTTTCCCGTATCATTTTTATCAATAATACTGTTACGACTGTTTTGTACTTCAAAGAATGTCTATCTTTGGAGTAAAAGTGCACGGACAGAACTACTGGGGAAAGAAATTCCTCCCCTACTCCAGCAGCCTACACAAACCAGAACAGGAGAAAAAAGACAACTGAATATCGACCTGTCCTTCCCTTTTCAAAGTTAGGGCATGCTAAACCTGTGCCCCTGTGCTTTCTTCAGAGCTGCCAGATGAACCAAACCAAAGGTTAAATACACAAGGAAGTCATTCATTTCAATGACTATGATAATAAACACCTTAAACACACTGCCTCACACACTATCCATAGTTGATTTTCTCAGAGAGTCAGAGCATTTTTGGGGCACCTGTAAGTGTTTCTATGTGCTTCTTTGCAAGTACTCTGAAACACACAAAAGAAAAGCAAACAAACAAACAAAAACCAAGAGAAAACCAAAACAAAACAAAAAAGCAAAAAAACCCAATGCTAATATATAATAACTCATTATACAAAGGTGGGAAAAAAAGGAACAACCCAATGGACTTTTTCAGGTTATGCAAAACTTTGGGAGGGGAAAAAGCATGTGCTTCCTTCCCCCCCGCTTCCCCCCCATTCCATTACTTGTGACATGAAATACCTCTAACAAATCTACCCAGTATACTAAAGGCCTGGGAGAACTAATATGTTCATGTGTTCCACTAGTTCCATAATGTAGAAAATGAGGCCATAGCAAATGAAGGAACCAAAAAAAAAAAAAGAAATAAAAATAAAAAAATAAAAAAAATATTGCATTTTTTTTGGTGAATGAGTGATGTCCATCTCAACTCTGTTATAATTACTTTCTTAATCATGGATTTTCAATGAATATTCTGCTAGTAAGACTGGGAATAAAAGGGCAACCAAGGAAAGGGAAGACTGCCTTACCATTGCCCAGGACATAAAGTAAATGTTGCTGCTTAATAGTGCTGCTCACTCTTTACCATCATCCTCTGTTGTTTCTCATATAGACATAATAAAACTGGGGAGAAAGAGAACTGATTTCATTTCATGTGAGGAATTTGCTTCGTTCCAAATTAAAACCACTGAAGAAAGGATTTATGAAACTTCTTACTCCACGCATTATTTTGGACTTCAGCAGAGGTGAGAAGGCAATATAATATTTTTTGTGGACTTAAGGATTTTGAATACCAACATTCACAGTGCCTGAAAAGCAAGAGAAACTGTGTACCTGTAGCTAAAACACAAGTTACAGATACTTCTTAAAGTGAAGGAGGAAAAATGCATTTTGTCAAGACTGTGACAAAAGAGGAAAGGCAGGCAGAGAAACAAGAAAAGACGTCACAGCAAATTAAGGACCATCTATCAGCTTCCTTCAGGGAAAGATTTTCTATAAATTAAAAATGAAAGATTTCTTAGAAGTGTGGAGCTGTTCATGATTTTACAGGAAAAATAAATAGGACATTGTCTCCAGTGAGTGTCTCTAGACAAGTTTTATAAAGTATCTGTAGACCCAGGAGGAGAAAAAGCCTAACTCTTTTTGGCTGCTCAATTTCTACCATTTGCCTTGCTGGCATCTGTGAATACAGAGCCAACCAAGAAGAGGGCTCTAAAAATATTGAAAGCCCCTGTATTCTGATTCCACTTCCTGTCAATAAACACCTGAACCCCAAGGCCCAGAGCTTGTTTTCCCGTTCTTGTTTTCTTTCTTAAGTTTAACTTCACAAAGAAAGCTCCATGTTTTGTAAAAAGTAAATATATTTAGAAATTTTTGTAAGGGGAAGGAAGGAAAACAAATCTTAGCAGCATATTTCCTGCCTTCCACCAACTGCATCATGGAGCATAATGTGGCTGTAAGGATGCTTTAGCAACTTGGTCTCGCAGAGAGCCAATACCAGCAGATGTTTTGTTTTGGGTAACAGAAGTGGCAAGGCAAGGCTCTGACAACTGAGTTGAAGAATTTTAATTGTACCATCCTAGCAACACCAGAGAAATCAGGTGCTCTGTCAGCAGGAGTAGGGAGAAGAGCAGGGAGAAAATTAATAAATTCTAGGGAAGGAGCTAGTGAGTTTACTAGCAAGCCCCACCGAAGAGCAGACAAAGGAAACATTCCAATCCATGAGGAGATGAAATAAACAAACAAAAAATAGAGTGCATCTCCTTCTGCCTCTGTTACAGCTGGGATGTCTGGGATGTCTGGAATGTCTGGGAGCAATTGGTACACCCTGAGGTCTTAAAAACGAGTGGACAACCATAAAACAGAGGGCTGATGGATTTAGCTGTTGCTTTTGACTCCTTCACATTTTGTGGATGACACACAACTTATCCCAGGATTCCATTTGAACACTCTCATACCCATGAACATTTGTGAGGTTGAAGAAAGGAAAGAAAGAAATAGGGAAAGAAGGAGTTAAAGAAAGAGAGAAAAGGGAGGAAGGGAGGAAGGGAGGAGGGAAGCAGGGAAGGGAGGACAGGAGGAAGGGAGGAAGGGAGGAGGGAAGGAGGGAAGGAGGGAAGGAGGAAAGGAGGGAAGGAGGGAAGGAGGGAAGGAAGGAAGGAAGGAAGGAAGGAAGGAAGGAAGGAAGGAAGGAAGGAAGGAAGGAAGGAAGGAAGGAAGGAAGGAAGGAAGGAAGGAAGGAAGGAAGGAAGGAAGGAAGGAAGGAAGGAAGGAAGGAAGGAAGGAAGGAATTTGACTCACATATTTGCGTTGGCTGATTTCAGACTATTTTTCATCAGGCAGTGTTCAAACACTCCTGTCTCCAAATGAATCCTCATGATTTCTGGCACATCAAATGAAAATTTCAAACATAAGACTGACAAGTTTTCCTTCAGTTTTGTACTAATTGGAAAACAAACTTCTGAATATTGCTTCAGTTTCTTTCTTCTTAATTTTTTAAAAAATTAATCTATATATATTTAACCACAGATATCTTTAGTACTCAGGAATGTACCAGTTAGACTGATATATCACTAAGCTGTTGTCCTCTCCTTGAAGAGTGAAGGTAGCATGACCTGTGAGAGAGTGATTTGCCCACCGTGGGCTGCTAATGGGACAGTCCTGCCGCAGCAGGGCTACTTCAAATGGCTGAGCCTTTTTTTGGTTTTAGCTACTTCTGGGAATGATTAAGAGGAAGAAGATGAGAATATCAGAAGTGCTCACTGCAGTTTTTATTGTTGTTTGTTGTTGTTGGTTTTGGTGTTCTTTTCATGATTCATCCACAGAGTTTTTTCAACTTCTGTGTGAAATCAAAGTGGCCAGTGCAGCACACTGTATGGAATAGTTGCTGAGATCCTCTGGCCAAACCTGGTGTGAAGACGTGGCAGCACTGGCAGCAGGGCCATCAGGGGCCATAGGAAGGACGGGACGCAGGTGACAGCCAGGAAAGCCAGAAGAGGTATCCACGGAGAGTTGCTTTTCGAGATCAACATCTGCATCTTGCAGAACTATCTTTCAGAAGGAGAGTGAAACCTGGTAAATGTGGTTTGGAACACAAAGCAAAGAAATGAGAGCTTAAGAGATGTTCAGAAGAGCAAATTATTATGTGACCCTGAAAGATTATACTGTGTTTTGATCTGATCCAGAAACCTGAGTTGTTCCGTGGGTCTCAGGAACGGGCTCTCCTGTCTATTTCCACGCCAGGATAGACAGTGTCATCAGTAAGGACTGTCTCTCACCAGTTGCCAGCAAGCACAATATAAACACAATCCCATACAACATCTTGAAGGTTAGATGATTATTTTCCATGTATATAAGCCATATTGGTGTGTGTCTTTGTGTTCTTATGTGTACGTACATTGGTGTGTATTTTCACCCATTTTAATAGCTGTGAACATAAATATATACGGAACAAGATGGAAACACACAGGATTATGATTCTTGCAAGCCCCTTAAATATGCAACAGCATACCAAAAATAATTTTGTCTTTTAGGATCAAAAGTGGAGGTGACTTAAAAGAAAAGTTCTAGAAAACTTTAAACATGGCTGCCTTTTTCTTTTTCTTTTTTTTTTTTTGTTAGTTGTTTTATGAATACCGGCCCCAAAATAAATTTTTTCCTAAAGATACGTTGAGCATTATGAAGTCACAGTCACAGGATGAAAAGTATAATTGTAATCAATAGCTTACACTTCTTAACCTATAGAAATGTCCTCAGCTATTGGAGGAACTCATAATTTATGAACAAGTGGCAGTTTCAAAGAACAGAATAAAGCATGGGTGCCCAACTTTTTGTCTTTCCTGAGACTGAATGAAGAGGAATTATCTTGGGCTGTATACAGAATATGTAATATAGTTAATGTAAGTAGGTAACAAAAAATATTATTATTATTATTTTGTAATATATATTTTCTTTTTTACTGAAATTAAAAAAAAAAAAAAGGGAGAAACAAAGCATAAAATTAGTGAGGTGTGAGGTGACTCTGTTTTGTGAAACTGATGCAATAATGTCTGGTTTGATGGAAGCATTTGCGATTCTTACTGATTTTTCAAGGTGCTCATCAGCTATTTTTTGATAAAATGTTGCTCCTCCTCCACTTCATCCTTGAGAATAGTTGCTCACAAATGTATATACTGCCAAAAAGTGGTGACAAATATAAGGTGTGATTGTGAAGTGAGGACTAGTTTTCCCTGGTAAGATAGGTCTTACAAAAGTCTAATGAAAAGACATGATCAAATTTTTGAGTTGAATATCTGATGGCAACTCTATACATTTCATTTGAAAATTTGTAGGTATTGTATTTTTTTACTGAAAACGGAGTTGCAAGTATACACAAAAATTGATTAAATTCTCTTCAGTCTTGAAACCTGTTCTCAAATTCCTTTATGAAGACAGAAATCAAGACTGCCTATTTTTTGTTGTTCGAAAGACTGTGTTCAGCCAAAGCATAAAAAATGTATAAAATTATTTGCTATGTCTTGAGTTAGCACTGTACTGTACCTTCCACTTGTCCTAGGTTCAGCTGAGACACTGATATATTGGTTGTTGCTAAGAGATGGATGTGTGCCCAGGTCTTAGCTGGACCGCTCAGAAGGGAAGAACCACCACCATGATAGTGCGGGGAAGGGGCAGGCTGCAGTATGAGATCTCCTGGGGCTTATGTGGCCAGTGGATTAGACATGCCTGGAATAAAGCATTCTCATACTTGCTGGAAAATTGAAGCTAAAAGATGAAATAATCATAGAATCATTAAGGTTGGAAAAGAGCTACAAAATCATCTAGTCCAACTGTCAACCCATCACCTCCCTGGGCAGCCTGTTCCAGTGCATCACCACACTTCTGGAGAAGAAATCATTCCTAATGTTCTCCTGGAACAACTTAAGGCTATTACCTCTCATCCTATGACTGTTACCCAGGAGAAAAGGTTGATCCCCATCTCGCTACAACCCACTTTCAGGTCACTGTAGAAGTGACAAAGTCTCCCTGAATCCTCCCCTTCTCTGGACTAATAAATATCAGTTCACTCAGCCACTTCTCTTAAGACTTTTGTTGCAGACCCTTCAACAGCTTTGTTGCCAGCTTTCAACTTCTCTGCCCATGGTCCAGGGCCTTGATGTCTTTCTTGTAGTGAGAAGCCCAAAACTAAACACAGTACTGGTGAGGTGTAGCCTCACCAGTGCAAGTACAGGGATGATCACCACATTAGTATACTATTTCTCATTTAAGCCAGGATACCATTGGACTTCTCGGCCACATGGGCAGACTACTTGTTCATATTCAGATGGCTGTTGACTAATATCCCTATATCTTTTTTTGTCTGTGCAGCTTGCCAACCAATAGCCTGTAACATTGTATGGTATTGTTGTGATCAAAGTGAAGAACCTGGCACCTGGTCTTGTTGAAGCTCATCCTGTTGGTCTCAGCTCAGAGATCCAGCCTCTTGATCCCTCTGTAGGACTTTCCTATCCTTGGACAGATCAAAACTTCCTCCCAACATGGCGTTATCTGAAAACTCACTGAGAATACACTCAATTCCCTCATCTAGATCATCAATAATGTTACTAAAGAGAACAGGCCCAACACTGACCCCTGAAGAATACCACTTATCACTGGTTGCAAATGGATTTAACTCCATTCACTACCACTCTGTCCCAGGCCATCCAGATAGCTTTTTACCCAGTGAAGATTACACCTATCCAAGCCATGGTCTGCCAGCTACTGAAGGACAAGACTGCAGAAATAGAGTCAAAGGATTTGCTGAAGTCTAGGCAGACTTCTTCCACAGCCTTTCCTTAATCCACCAGATGGATCACCTGGTCATAGATAGAGATGAGGTTGATCAAGAAGGACCTGCCTTTCATGAACCCATGATGACTAGATCTGATCCCCTGGTTGTTCTACATATCACACGATTGCACTCAAGATGATCAGCATGATCTCCCATGACACTGAGGTCAGGTTGACAGCCCTCTAGCTCCCCAGACCCTCCTTCTGGCCCTTCTTGTAGACAAGCATCACAATGGCAAGACTCCAATCAACCGGTATACATTCTTTGCCATTTGATATGGTACTGTATTATTGTACTATTGATACCTAAAATACATGCTGAAAGAAAGGAACAGGTGTGTTTCTTCTATCCATCCTTTCTAAAGAAGTAAGATTTAGAAAAAACATATTTTATTTTTATTTTTTTTTACCTGCATTTATTTTTAGCAATCTGGGGGAATAATTTATATAGAAATGATCATGTAACTCTCACCCCTGATCTGTCAAGATAAGACTAGTGGATGTAGCTTTGAAAGACTTACTCAGTTTTGCAAGACTTAGTAGTGAGCAATTGTTTCTTATCAGCAGGACGATGAAACCTGTGGTAGTAAATATGATTCCAAATGAGTGTGGTTTGCCAAATTACTTTCTTGACTACATGGAGTCACTTAGATGTATCAGGATGAAATCCCTAGAGCTGTAAAAGCAGTGAGTGCATAGTAAGACATACTCATCCTAAATTTAATGTGGCCTTAATTTACTGCAGTTTAATCCTCCTCATTTTCCCTTTCTACTTGAAACTTGTACCTTGAAACATGAAAATTATCATATTGCTAAAGTGCTTTGACACTCTTCTCCAATAAGCTTGTCAAATGTAAAGCTTAAGTCTGCAGGTTTAATTTTCCCACAATCTTGAAGGCTTTTATTTCAAAGTGCATTTTGGAAGACTCTAATACGGTAACATGAAATAATAGAATGGTTTAGGGTCCCATTTAGTAGGTGGCTTTCACTCCAGAAAACAGTCTCTTGAGAGACTATGCAGCAAACTGCTTTTTGGTAATAAAATGCGTAGGTTTACCTCCTGTTAGAGTTATGGAGAAGGAGGTAACTGTAATATGCAAAATTCACAGACAATTTCATTTTTGAGTAATCTAATACTCTTTGTTCTATCCACACAGTGCTCAGTTGTGCTACAATAAATATGAAATATTGAGATAGTAAATTCTTTGCCAGGAAGAAATAATACGGATTTGAGCTGGTGCAGAGTAGCAGATAATAACTCAATCTTGAGCCTTGCCAGCCCCCAGTCTAGACTATTTTGGTATCTTGTTTTGAGTAATCACTGTTTTCATCTCAGCCTTTTTATTAATATTATCTGTTGGCATTCAGTGAAAATATTGGTCCTATTTAGCACAAAATGAAAAATAGTGAAAATCTTTTCCAGAAAGTAAAGATCTTGTCAAAGATGCATCTAGGTAGGACCCTTGTTTCACACTAAGGGCTTAGGCAGAGCATGATCTATGTGGGCACATTGGTTTCTTCCATTCTTTTCCTCAATTAATAAATTGAGAATTTTGTCTGATTAAGAGCACCGTCATTTAATATTAATTATTTCTTCTGTGGAGGCTCAGCATATTTCTTCATCTGTATATCAAACTTTAAAAGGACGTAACCTCTATTTTCCTAGTAATGAGCTCATTTCTAGTTTTCAGCTGAGGCTCTTCATTTGGCCACCATGGTGGTTGATTTGATAAGACCTTTGAATTTACAACTTCTTTTGATATTCAGTCCTTGTGCCTTAGAAAGCTAAGGTACAAAAGGAAACAAAAGGTGAATGGAAGCAAAAAAGAAATTCATGGGTGGATTTTATATGACAAACAAAGTGCACAAAATTGTCTCAAAAGCTTTCGCTTGCATGAATGCTGAAACAAATCTGGGATGTAGCAAGCTGGAAAGGCTATCTTTTTTTCACTTTTATTTTGACTTAGTGGGGGGATAATGGGACAAAAATCCCTAGAAAGGGGTAAGTGGCAAACTTAGACTGATACATGTTAGGCAATGGTTACATGTCGAGCAAAAATACACTTTCATAAATGATGCAGTTTCGGAAATGAGAGTGTTATAAAAGACATAAAATAAGTTTCATCATGTTTTACATAACATTACGTTTCTCACATGACACAAACAAAAAGCTTTAGACAACCTTGAGCTTTGGAAACCTGCTATGATTTGGATTATGTAAAGTTCTTTCAAGCCCCTATGTCTCTTCCACATCATTATTTTTAGAGTTTGCTTATTTTTTTTCCCTAGATGAAGACATTTCAAACACACAGAGAAAAAAATAGATATGGTGACAAAAAAAAACCCACAACAAACAAAGATTCTAAAGCCCTTCTTCAGAGTACTCTCAGAAAGTAAGGAACTGTGCCTCCAGTCCAAATACTTGAATAACTCCTCAGAACTTACGCATGTCCTCAAGATTTGTTGTCAGTGATTAAAATAAAAAAAAAGATCTTTAGTGTAGTTCTCAGGGGTGGAGTTGATGCTCCATCTCAGTATTTCCTCTAATGTCTCTGATTGCACATTCCATAATAGAGCATAAAGTGCTATGACATTGTTGTTTGTTTATTTGTTTTATAATTTAGCTTGGAAATTCTTCATGTTTTCCATTACTTTATTATTATAATCTATTTATTTATTTACCTTGTTGCTCCTATATTCTTGTAATGGCACATAAGAAGGTGCTTAAAGGTCTTCTTGAATGTGGCATTGCAGAGCGCATAACAAGCAGGATTGATGGTGCTGTTGATGTAACAGAGCCAATAACCTATGGTCCATACAGTACCAGGGATGCAGGATGCACAGAAGCTGTTGATGAGCACCATAACATTGTATGGGGTCCAGGTGATGATGAAAGCTAGGAGGATTGCTAAAATGGTCCTTGTCACTTTTTTCTCTCTAGAAGGTGGTGGTTTCTTTTTGGCTGGCTGCTTTGTCATCTTGACTATTTTCCGGGCTACACTATTCTGCTTCTCATCCCCATTGGTGCCTACAATTTCCACAGTAGTGTTGGTGGGAGCACAGCAGTCACCCTTTTGGGACTTGGTTACTATCCTGATGCATGTCAGCTTGGAGTTCTCCACTTTGAGGTGGTCTTGGGAGGCAGAAGTCTGGCTGGCATCTTTGGCAGCTTCATCCTCTTTTATGTTGGAAGGGACAACACTCACTGAGGTGGAGTCATTGGAGCTGTCCTTCTCCTCCCCTTGAACACAGTTTTCCATCACACTCTCTCCAGCAGTTTTTCCATTCTGAATTTTATTATGTTCCAGCCCATCTGAACTAGTTGGGATGTTGTTATTGTTTGGTTTTACTATTTTACCTTGGACAAGGCTGGGGGAAACTGGATCCTGGTTTTGGGCAGCTTCCTTTTTCCCTTTCTTTATTCGACTCTTGCTGGCTCGAGAGATTTGCCAGTAAAGAACAGTCATGATTATAACAGGTAAATAGAATGCTGCAATGGCAGTGCCAAAAGTGACAGCAGGATTGGAAAAAAACTGGATGTAGCAATCCTTGTCAGGAACAGTCCTTCCCCCTACAATGAACTGCCAGAAGAGAATTGCAGGGGCCCACAGGATGAAGGAGAGAACCCATGCAGCTGCAATCATTATGCCTGCCATCTTAGTCGTCCGCTTTACAGGGTATGTCAGAGGCTTGGTGACACAAAAGTATCTGTCAAAGCTGATGATAAGGAGGTTCATCACAGAGGCGTTGCTGACCACATAATCAAGAGCCAGCCAGAGGTCACATACCACGGGCCCTAAGGGCCAGTAGCCTATCACAGTGTAGAGGGTATATAGGTTCATGGAAAAGATGCCTATGATCAAGTCAGCGCAGGCCAAGCTGAACAGGAAATAGTTGTTGACAGTCTGCAGGTGCCTGTTGACTTTGATTGACACCATGACCAGGATGTTCCCAATTATGGTAACTAAGCTGAGAGAACCTGCCACCAAGACGATGAAGACCACTTCGATAGTTTTATAGGGGCTCTCCAGAGCTATTACATTTTCAGAGGAAGAGTTTATGTACGTTGAGTTATTCATTTCTGTGCTGCTAACAAGATACTCAATTATCACTTAAGCCTGCAGAGGAAATAAAAGACATATACCATTATGAAATTAGTCCCTTTGCTTTTAGGAAATGGAAAACTACCTGGAAAGAATTTAAAGGTAGAAGACTGAGTGCAGAAGAATCATTCAATTCATGCTAATGTAAAACCCCTTAAAATGTATAATATCCCCTTAGGAGTAACAAAGCAATAAGATTCTCTTAAATATATGATAAAGATACTACAGTTGAATGCAAATTTAGATTTTTTTTTTTATCTTCTCTTATTCATTTCTGCCTTTGTCCAGCAACTGTACACTGATTCTTTCCCTTCTAACACTTTCCAATAAACCAATCAGTTCCTGGGAATATGTCATTCTTGTAACTCGTGAGGAAGTTAATTACTATGAGCTGGATCATGACAAAGTGATTTATGTCTCCTTCTTTTCTTCATGTTCCTGAATGAGTATGCTTCTGTAAAGTTTATGGAACAAGTTTGTGTCATCTTTCCCCCTACTTTTCGTATATTGATGTGTCTTTCTTTCGTTCTTTTTTATTTTTATTTTTTTATTTTTTATTTTTATTTGTGTGTGTGTGTGTGTGTGAGAGAGAGAGAGAGAGAGTGCATTTGCAAAGATTTTGCCCTTAAGGCAGTAGAATTAGTAGACTCACCTCAGCTCCATCTCTAGCTTTCTCATTAGATGTATATAAATTAGTCTTTTTTTTTCATTTTAGTGAAATCAAAATAATTTTATATGTTCAGTTGACTATTTGTGCCTGGAAAATGTTGGGTTTGTTTGTTCGTTTTTGTGTATGTGTTTTCTTTAAACATGGTGTGCTCTCTTGATACTCGCTTGCTTGTACTTTCCCCATTATAATTTTTTTCAATTCACAATATTTTTAATCTTTTAATATTTTTAATATTGCATAGAACTATGACATAAGGTATGAAATGGGTAGGAGGAAAACTATAAAAAAATAAACAGATTAAAATCACTTCTGTTCAAATACAGCAACTCTTTTTTGCTATGTACACCTATCGGCAGTACTCAGTAAACATTAATTAAAATACTAGCAAAATATATTTGCTAGAAGACCAACAAACAGCACATGATTTTGCCATAAGGATATGTACTATCCTTTTGTGCATCCCCTAGAAATCAATAGAATGTGCTGGAATTGTAGAGACAGTCTCTGAGCTCTCATTATTTATGAGCTGTGCTCAAGGGATTATTGAGGCATGAAGGCCAGATGTGACAGAGAAGTTAGATTGTTTTTAATTGGAATATTTTCCCTTTTTTTTTTTTCCCTCCTACCCAAAAGGCACCACTTCCTCAAGACAGATCTTCAAGAATTGGAGATTCAGGCAAAAGAAGGTAGAAAAAATCAGTTATGTTTGAACCTTTTATACTTCAAGGGTAACGAATCCTTCTCTGATTCCTATAACAAAGCTGTTGATGCACAGAAATATATAACCCATATTACTTAAACAGAGCAATGCATTTTCATTGTCGTTTTAGCACTATTTTCTTTCAGATGCAGAAGGAAGAAGATGATGTCAAATGTCAACACAACAGAAAAAGCCCTTCTGATCTCCCTGAAAAATAAGCAGGTTTGTCTCTGTGGAAAAGTCAAGTTGCTAAACCAGGGTGAAGGGTCTTTGTCTGAGGTGACTTTGTAATCTCGTAATTTATACTAAAAGAAATACATCTGGCAGAATATGAAGCTCATCTTTTAAAAGATTTGTTTGCCATTTCAGTGGTAAGGTGCACACATGGATAAACAGAGAATTGTAAGGCTAGACAGATTTTTTCATACCAGCTGTTCACAGGTATATCCCTAAAGTCCTTGGGATGAGTTTCAAGAAAACAAAGCTATGAGGAGAAATGCTTTAATTAAATATGTATTTTGTGTGGTAAGAATAGGCCAAAGGGAGTATAACAGGCTTTACATTCTGTGCAAAATAAATAAATAAATAAGTTTCATGTACTTTTTATATATATATATATAGAGTGAGAGAGAGAGAGAGAGAGAGAGAGAGAGAGAGAGAGAGAGAGAGGATTAGCCCAGAAATCTTTAGTCTACTGGACTGGCATTTCAGCAGGGACCCCAACTGTGCGGCTGACTGTCTAACTAGGTATGCAAGATATCACATTTTTGGGACTTCTCCCAAGTAGAGTTATGAACATTCTTGACAGAATGAATTTTTTATGAAAAGATGAACTGACTCATGAAGATGCATTGATTTAAAAAAAAAAAATCATGTGAAAAGCATTTGTGATCCAGGGCTTTGCAGCTACCTCTGGTGACAAAGAGGGAACAAGAGAGATTGGGAAAAGAAAGGAAGAGGGTAAGAGAGAATCTGAGAGGAAAACGTTATGCTTTATAATGAGAAAATGGATGTTTCTGTACAATAACACTGTGATAAAATGTTCAGACTTTTGTTTTTATTTCACTGGAGAACTAAAATTCATTTTAAAACCTTGAAACTTGTGAAACTGAATTACTGCCTCCCAGCTAACTTTATTCCCAAGTATTTTCTGATGTCTTTTTTTCCATTTACAGTGGAAATACTGGGCATTCCCCTGATTTTATTATCTGAGTTTCTGGGAGCTGAATGAAACCAAAAAGCTAGTTTTACCTGATAGGAATAGGATTTCACTGTTCTTTTGAATGGAAGCAAAGCAGAAGAGTCCCTTTCCCACTGATTTCCCTTTGCACGATGCTCTCCTGCTGTGAGAAAGCTGATAATTCTGCATTGCAAATTATGTTAACTACTGTGGCTTTCCCAGGTATAGAAAAAGATGCGGGAGAATTCTGCTGTCACATATCCTAGCAAAATCTTTTCTCTTGTCAATATGATTGCAATCTGTGTGTGTTGATGAGAAGGTACAAAAATGTAAAAAAAAGTTTGATTGAAATTGATATATCTCATCACTGCTGATGGACCTACTATTTTACACATATGAACAGAAATGGGGGCATTCCTGCTTTGTAATCCGAAGATTCTGAACTTGCTGTACTGTCTTTTGCTGACCCCAGTAGGATTTGAATCATGCCTGTTGGGAGATCTGTCATCCTTACTGGGACTCCATTAGAACAGGATTGCCTGTGAACTACTTTTATTTTTGTCAAGCCACAGACCCTATCCCTCTTGCTGGAAAGGCAGTTGTTGTGGGAACAGATGTTACTCATCAGACGGATCTATGGACAGAGGTGTTTTAAGGTAATATGACCTCCCATTATGAGAAGTACCAGATCTTGTTCTTGAGCAAACAAAGATCTCTTCTGCTAGCCCATGGATTTTTGTGTGAGCTGCACAGTATGGCACTGACTCACACGGGCTACCATAATTTATCCTTGTATATGAAGCGCATTCTTGCTGAACAGAGAATAGCCAGAAAAGGTAAGAAATTTCTCCTGCACCCGAGTTCATTTTCTGAAATATATTTTAAAATATGTGACTTTGCAAAATGTAAGCAGTATAATCAGTGTGTGGATAATGTGCAAGTCTGAGAAATATTAATATAATATAAACATAATATAAAAAAATTGTTTGATCTTTGGTAAATGGTTGAGAAACATTTTCGGTGTAGTAGTTTTTCTTCTCTTAAGAGTTTCCTTGCAGTGCTGAAAATCATTCTTTACCTTTCTGTTGACCATAGGTGTTGGGGGTAGAATGGGGAGATCAGTTGGTATTCACAGCATGTGAACTTTTGGCATGGTTTGATGCCAGGTCTTTTTGCAGTGGGTGGTAGCAAGGTCAGGGAGCAGCTGGGCACTGGTGGTTGACCTGAGCCGCTATCACCACTCCCAAGGAGAAACTCAACAAAGGCTGGAGTGAACTTTCACAGAGCATGCTGGCTCTGTTATCTTCCTAGAAGTTATGGAGGATACAAAAAAAGAGGTCTGGTCTATAAGTTTATTCCTGCAAACCATTTGATCAGAAAGTGGAACTATTCTGAGGGTTAGAAAGCAAAATTACGTAATTGAGGGTGTTCATCTCAGAAATAGGAAGGCAAAAGAAAGGGGTAAGGACTGGATACCAACCATAGGCTCACAATCTTCCAACAGAAGTTATTTATCAATTACAATCTGCTGAGTCTGTTTTCCATTTGCCCTGACAGGATCTGATCCCTTCAGAAATCCTTACAATTTTTGCACTGTGAACAAATCATCAACATCTGTCACAAACCAGGCTATAGAAATATTTACACTGAAAAAAAAAAAGAAAAAAGAGTGATATGCCATGCCTGTCAAATTTTGTTAAACAAATCCTTCCTTTGTACTGTATATATTGCCGAGTAAAATGTGGTAAAGATTTAATGGTTTCTTTCAATTCTCTGAAACTGTAAAAAGGTCAAGAGATGAAAGAGAAAGCAAACAATCTACACCTGAAATCCATGTCAGTGATTTAAATAGAAATACCCAGCAATCTATGTGCATAGCTACTCTGAGTACTTTTCAGATTTCAGCGCTCAAAACTTTTCTAACTTTTATTTATCTTTGATCCAGTTCCTCTCTCCAATACAAACCTACGCAAAATGGATTTCATTTTTGCTGTATCAAGAATAAAATTGTATTTTTTCCTAAATTGAATTTGATCCTATACAGCACTGGTTTTGATTCTAAATTCATTTCTGGCACCATTTAATACCATACTGTGAAAAAAGAGGAAAACAAAAACCCCAAGCCTCTGACAAATACACTGTGCACATTTGTCAGATTTTATTATAAATTTTAAGAGAGATGATGAAACTTTTCTGGGCTTTTGATAAAAACAAAACAAGACGAAACAAACAAACAACAGCAACAACAAAAATCAGAAAATATCTCGAATATGAGAAGACTAAAATCTTCGCTGTATGTGTTATTCCTTGAGAAAAGAAGACTGAGAGGGGACCTGATCCAGGTCTATAAGTATCTAAGGTGTGGGGGGCAGAATGGCGAGGCCAGGCTCTTTTCAGTGGTGAGTGGAGACAGGACAAGGGGAAACGGCTGGAAACTGCAGCATAGGAAGTTCCGCACAAATGTG